CATGATTCTATGACTTTGGGGTCACCTTGCCGCCCTTGTTAGAAAGTGTAGACGTAGCCAGTGTGTCGCTGTAACTGTTGTAGGATAATTTCTGCGTAAGTGCTGCAGGGCACTGAGGAGCTGGCTGCTGTTACTGCTCCAGCGTGTTCACGCTGCTGCAGATCAAGCTACCTATCAAAGCATCTGATTTTACAAGCCCATTGAATATAAAAATATCTTGGTATATGCAGCATTTGCAAATGTCTTATCATTCGGTCCTCACTCTGCAGAGCTGGAAAAGAAAAGCAAAGATGTAGAGAGAGAAAAGTCAAAGAAGATGTGCCTGAGTAGGAGTGAGCTCCCTTGGATAGAATAGCCTGAAACAGGTTTTCATCTTGGTGGGTTTGGGCGAGAGGGGATATGGAGGGGGAGATGGATTTGTGCTCAGTGGAGCCATTAACTCTACTAGGTTAGCCATGTAAATCCTCCACATGGTGAGAAGGGAATACATCTCAGCATGTAAAGCCTTAATGTAGGAATATTTGTTAAATTCAAAATAGTGTGAAATCAATTCCAACAGCCTTCAGCTTTCCTAATCTTTTATTAACCATTATGTGTGATTTTATTATTAAATCATAAGCTGATGCTGAAGGAATTTATGGGATGAAATTACAATAAGTGACTGAGCACTGCGGCTTTTGTGTCTCAGTGTTTTAAGTGCAATTCTTCAAGCTTTTGGGGTTATTTTTCTCTCTTTTACAGGTTGCAGCTTTTACCAAAGCAAGCACTAAAAGCTACTCACATTTATAAAAATTGTATATATATATATGGTCAGGATTTATTTTAAACTGTCATTGATCTTGTTATAGAGCCTAATTGTGGTCATATCAAAGCTGATGGGAATCCTGCTCAAGAGAACAGCAGGATCCTAGGGAGATTTATGCATATGCTTGTTGCCAAGTGTGTGATATAATTCTATGTATCGGGAACATTTCCCAAATGGGACCTAGGGATGAATGTGGTCCAGGGAAAGCCTGTTTGTAGCACTTGCCATTGCTAGAGCAAATTTCTTTTGTTTTCTTCACTGCCTCTCAAGCACACTTCTAATTACTGCAAAATATATTCTGAGGACTGTAATGAGGAGCTCTGTTATACATGGTTGAAATGAGAGGATAAGTCCCTTGATACTTCGATTCTTGAATGTTGAGGCCGTTTGCGGGTGTCCTGGCCTCGTTAACGACAGCGCTACAGAAGCAGGCTCTTCTCAGGTGCTTCCAAGAATACAGTGACTCCAACATGGTGGTTCTTAGGCTTTAACAATAACCCACAGTTTTGTAGACTTGTATGGATCATTGCCAAAGGAGCCATGGGGTCAGTTTGGATTCCTGTGCTTTTCATTTGCTGCCTGCCTGTGAGACCTGCCCAGGCCTCAGAAAATCCAGTGAGGCTGTGCACAGGAACTGCAGTTTGTCTTGTCTCTCTGCCATGCTTATAGTTTCTGGTATTTGCAAAGCAGACCCTTCAGGTGAAGACTGTGACAAGATAAGAAAAACTGATGCTCCACCCAGATTATGGGATGAACTGCGCGGGGAGAAGGAATGGAGAAAAGGAAAAAATTATGTATGTGAAAAATAGAGTATTGTATACAGTGACTTCCTGAATCATAATGAGCTTTATTCCCAGGCAAGAAGCTTCTGAGAAGCAGTGCATGAATTATCTTATTTACTCCCCTGTGCTTAAATAATTCCTTTTGTTTTCACAGGCCGATGCTGGCTGGATGCTTTGGAACTTGCCCTGCGTTGCTCCAGCCTCTTCCGGCTCAGTGCCTCCAAGCAGGGAAAGGATGGAGAAATGAACTACTCGAGCGATTCTGCGCATGCAGGGCTCAACCACCTCTTGCACACAAGTGCTATCTCAGACCAGGAGTTCTTCCAGTAAGATGGGGCTATCACTTAGTGCACAGAAAGGTGTCGCATGGCTCACACTTGGTCATCCTTCTGACTTTAGCATAATCTATCCAGAGTGCACTCAGGGAAGCTGTTTAAAAACCAACCTGTGTGATGTTCTGCATCCGTCACTAATACATGGGTTTGGTGCATATGAGGTTTGTTGTCACCTCGTGCTTGAGCACACAGAGTGAGGAGAAGGTCAGCTGTGTTCGTGTGTACATAAACAGTTTCCTTCTGTCCCTTGCTCTGGCCACAGTGCTGTCTGGAGATGCTGATGTGAAAAATAGCTCGCCTGAGCAAAGATTGCAGAATGTAGCTACTGGAGTAGACCTGTAGTTGTACAGAGTCACGAACAATGTCTGTCTGTCGGCTGGCACATACGGCTCTGAGTCTGATCTATTTCTTAATAATGCATTCTCTTTTCTAATGATACTGTGTCATAGTCAGCAAAGTGCACACACTGCATCCTTAGTTTTATAATTACTTTCTCTCTCTACAGGGGTTTTGAGTGGTTTCCAATTTCTTCCGTGATGCATCAGATAAATTTTTACATAAGGGGAAAAAAGTCCCCACAGTCCTCTTTCTTTTCATATTCCTACTATTACTGCAGCATTTTGGAACAGCTCACATCAAAGCTCTGTGAGCATTAAAAAACCCCAGGCCTTCTCTGTTGCTTATAGCTAAACAGGCAGCTCCAAAAATCCCTCTGGTATAGACACTTGGCCCTTGGAGTGGGAACTGGGAGATGTAGTGTCTGTTAGTAGTTCTGCTGATACCAATCTGACTCTACGGGCTCAGAGCAGTGACCATTGGTTACACAGGTTATGGGGTAGCAGGTCTTGCAGTCTGCAAGGATGATGCCGTGCACTGTGGGACTTCACCTTTAAGTATTCTTCTTAGGCTGTGTTATAACAACAGCAGGGATCTGAGTCCTCTTCAGGGTGTTGAGATATCTCATGTCCCATGGGACTAAAGGGATGGCAGCATTTTGGTCTGTCCTTTGCTCTGAAAGTCTCTGGTCTTCCCCAGCATGTGTTCTCCAGTCGTGCTGTTTGGCTTTTTAGCCAGAGTTTGAAGAAGAGCTTTACTGAAGAACAATGGAAGAAGAGAAGGAAATGTGATGTCTTACCAGGGCATGTGCCCTAGTACTTGTGCAAATACTTCTGTTGTTGTTGGGCTGCTTCCATAATACTTTACTTTCTAATTTCTTTCTACCTAAGAGAGAGTGCTCGCTGGATAATGAATCCAGGCATACAGAGGACTTGTTTTTCAGCTGATGGATGTGTGTACAGAAATCCAATATTAAAATGGAGCCTGTGGCACAGAACATTGAGGCAAACCCATGTCTACTTTAAGGCAGTGCAGAAAATAGAGTTAAAGCTGTATTACAGTATTTCTTTAAAGAACAGTGTGTAAATGACGCTTAAATGATGCCTCTTTTCCACATCTTAGTTGTTCAGCATTAAAAGCTCTCTTGAATTATGGGGCTCAGCAGTAGCACACGTGGCAGAGTTTCCAGCAGCACAGAGTACCCACAATTGGAACCAGATTTTTCTGACAGGCTCAGGTTGTAGCTGAGTCTGGTTCAAGCTGGGCGTTCAGCATCTGGTTGTCTGGACAATACACTCTCCTTTCTGAGTCCTACCACTGGGTTTCAAGTCTACCCAGACTTTCGCCAGTGCTTAAAGCCATGGGGAGTTTGCTGGTTGCAGGACAGGGGGACGACTGGCTGCCATCCATGAAGGAGTAAAGAATGTTTAAACAAGGGAGAACACTAAACCAAAACCGTGCAAGTGCTGAGCAAAGGGTTTTTGGTTTGCCACTGACAGTGGCTTCCTCACAGGGATTCAATCATTCTAATTAAATGCCTTCCCTACAGGGAATCTTACCAATTAAATTGGCACGCTGTTGTTAGGGGGCCAGTTAATTACATTTAACTCTATCTTCAAATTAGCCAAACTACTCTGTCGAGAAAAGAAAGAGAAAAGGGAGATGATGGATATTATAGGAGAACAAAACCCAAGGGAGTTGGCAAAGGCGAATCTTCCGTTGAGCCAAAGTTGCGTTTGTCTGCTGGCTGCTTTGCTCCTTTCCTGCTGGGAAGGAAGTCAAGATTATACAGTGATTTTAAAATCCGTGTCTTTAGCAGCGTATAAAAATGAGAGGGAGAGAACCGTGCAAGTGAATCAAAGGCTAAAGCACTGTGTAAATCTGATTTTAGACAAGAGGTCTTTAAGGCACCAGGACCGCATTAATACAAAGTTGTATTTCTTGTGGCCTCCCTGTCTTATCTCCTGCAAGCCCAGGAAGCTGGCTGGTTTACTTGTTTGACAAGAGCCAAAGGGGTCTTTGCTTTGTGTACAAGAGCAGTATCAAACCCTAAGAAGTCCTGGTCACTGACTGAAGTTTCCAAGAATGCCCCTGGAGAATAAAGCACTGGTATAAGACAGCTCAAATATGCTGAAACAGTAAATTAGCCATGAAAAATGCCAGGTTATTAATGTTTGTGTTGGAAAGGCAGTGTTCACTTTCAGCAAAGTCATTCCCTCCCAGTTTTTTAAGCCTGGTCCAGGCTTCCCATTGGAAGCCCCTGGAAAATCTTTACCTGGATTTTTGTTCAAGCTCATGGCGTGGCTTTTGTTTTCAGCATATCGTACGTAGTTAGTGATGCTTCTCTTTGGAGCAATAGAAGAGCCTGGCTCCATTGGAACATCTCAAATAGGTTCTTCAGAATGAGGAGCATCTGTTTGCCCTTTGGTTCCTCAGAGTGGCTCCTTGGCTCTGTTAAGTCTTGCCGTGCTTGTGGCTGGTGGATAATCAATGCACAGTTGAGTGGGATTTCTTGTGAATTTAATTCCCTCTTGGACTAAATCTGTAATTCTTAAAAAATAATGGAGAGGAGCAGAGGAAACTAACAAAAGGGTCATTTGCTCCACTGAAACTTCAGATGTTTCCCAAATGTGAGGTGGGTGACACTGAAAAACACTTGCTCTTCTTACAAATGTGAAATAGAAACAAGTGCTACTCCTCAGCTGTGAACCATAAGCCTTATAGCGAACTCGTCTTTCGAGCATTTTTACCCTGTGGAAAAAACTTTCACTAGGTAAGGGAGGTTAGTAACCGCAGACCAATACTCACATATTGCTCATTGTCATTTTGCTCATTTCAATTGGTCATTGAAACATTAAGAAATAAATTAGGTATTTAAATGATCAGCAACTAATAACTTCCTCGACCTACTATCTCGGAAGTATCTGTGCTGAGGAATCATGAAAGTGTCTCTGCAGACAGTATCTTTGTAGTCTCATCGGTCTCTCTTAAACTCATGCATGTGCTTCCAGTGTATTTGGTTATCAGTCATTGCACCTGCTGGTTGCCAGCTGAAAGAAAGAAGTATCGTTCTGGCACCAGAACAATGAAGAAATATAAGGTCTAATAGCAAGTTATTGGTGCTGGGGTATAGTGGTCACTGACTCTCTGATTTATGATCTTAGTTTTATTTTACAGTAAAAATGTAAATTAAAAAACCTTGTAGTTCATATATATACGCACAGACGTATATGCATGCATGCATGTATGCAGATGGAGTTAAAAGATTTTCTAAAGGCACTGAAAGCTATAGAGGACATGTTCAGAAGAACTCTAGAAAGTGAGCTTCTCCAGGAACTGAGCTGTGACTGTCACAATGTGGCTTTCTTGCCGTGTTAAAAATCATTTCAGTGCATAGGTGGAAGCTGAGATCTTCTGAAAAGCTGATGCCAGTTCTGTGTTCGGACTCTTCTGTTGGTTTTTTTTGTTTTTAATCTGGCTCTAACTAGCAATGCCTAATTATCTTTTTTTAAGAATTAAAAAAAGAGAGGGAGAACAAGGGATGGGAACTTTCAGCATTAATCTGTAATCAAAATTGGAACATGCCCAGAATGGCCTGAGAAAAGGCTCATCGTGGGGACACTTCAAGTTTGACAGAACATTCCCTGACCTCCAGTGGAAGGTGTCCCTGCCCATGGCAGGGGAGTTGGAACTAGATGAGCCTTAAGGCCCCTTCCAACCCAAACCATTCTGTGATTCTGTGTTTCTATGTACCAAGGAGAGAAATCTTGGTCTGAGAGGGAGGTGTACTGCAGGAAGTAACAAACGGCTTCAAGATCCAGGGCCTGTTTAGATCCTATGAAACTCTTGGCATAGCTGAAGATCTTACTGCTCTATCCAAGAGCAATTTTGTGTGAGGACTTGGGTAAGAAATTTTCAGAGGAAGGTCAAGCAGAGAAGGTCAACACCTAGCTAGGCTGTGCTAGGTACCAGTGCTAGGCAAGGTCGCGAAAGAGGTGATGTGTGTCTGAAGACATGTATGAATAGGGAAAACTGAAGTCCATGCAAAGTATCACTTGAAAAAATGGGCATTTAGTGATACTTTTCAGCACCTGACCTCTGGCCCATATAATCATGTTTGCCATCTGTTTTATGAACTGCATCTGCTTTTTCAGATGGAGATGCTATAGGCTACTTGAGAATTTTTGGCTTTCTCCTCATTCTCTAAAGTCCAGATCACTGATCATGAAGCTTGCTACACCTTCCACACTTCCCTTTGATGCTGTTATAATCTGGGTGTTTTTACATGTAGTCGTCCATGCTTTCAACTCAGTTCTCCCACACAGTGTTATCTGAGGGAAGCACATTCCCCAGGTTAGTTTGGGTATGTGTGTGTGAAAAACTTCTACTGGTTTTTAAATTTGCCTTTTCTAGTGTAGGGCTGACTTAGGATCACCATCTGTAGAAGTGAAAGTATCAGTAGTACTGAAAAGAAAACGTATCCCATAGTGTCATATTTTTTCCATATGCTACAACCCACTGATTTGCTTCTGTAAAGGGAAAAACCTCTCCTGACTGACACTTCAGTTCTCTAATCAGCAGTGTTCAGTTGTGAGTGTGTGCTCTGCATCCCTCTGGTATGAGGGCTGCCATCCAGAGCCAGCAGCAATTCTGCACTAGGGTGGGTAAGTGGAGCTGTGTGGCAGATTTTGCAAAGTGTAGTTTGGAGGGAAGAATCCGATGGCAAAAATCTCACTGTTTCCCTAATAAAACCCCTGCTATTCAGGAAGGCGGTGTCTGATACTCTTTGGGGCTGCACACCCTATTTAGAGTCCTTGGGGCGTGTTTTTACCTTATCTAAAAGGCCTTAATTAATCTGGCTTTGCAAATCAAATTGAAGTAAATAATGACCTGTGTGTTGCAGTTTGAATGAATCAGCCCTGGAGAACCACCACCATTTGGAAAATGACGCCTTTTCGGACAAGTCCGAGAGAGACAACGTAGAAGAGTCGGAGAACGAAACTCATGAGAATAGCCGGAAGACAAACGAAAGCGAGAGCGATCAGTCAGAAACCCATGGAGAAATCTCTCTGGGAAGGAAAGGGACGACTTACATTGAACAGATCTATGAGGAGTTTGGGGAGGTAAAATAAAGGCAAAATTACTTTAAATGCTGCCTGTTTCTGTTAAAATATCTCTGTTCGTAGTATTTGTCATTCAGCCCTTTAGATGCATGGCGGTTAAGAACCAGCTTTGTGACTTCCAGTGTTTTACAGATAAAGCAAAGCACAGCTTTCTCCTAAATTATGTTGAATTATCGTGCGCTCTAATAATTATGCATTACGAACAGCAGCTCTGCTATTGTGCTTTGGCATGTTGCCAGCATCAGCAATTGCTTTAACCAGTTATTGCTTTGAAGAGCCGCATAGCGCTGGCACAGTGCTTTGAGCAGCCGGCGGGAGGGGGAATCATTATTCTGGGCATGTGTCCTGGCCAATTAGGATGCTCAGTCCTGGCGTGTAACAAAATATGATACTTTCCTTTTTTTCATTATGCATGGAACATCCCTTTTGTGTGTCCTAATGGAGCATTTGAGCCACTTGATCCCTAAATGACAGTTTCTTGTAGGAAAGCCATTTCTCATGTCACTTAGCAGCAGGAAGATGTGGTTCTGTTCCGTATAAGAGCCTTTGTTAGCTGGATGTCACTGGCATCTCTGAGGAAGGCAGCACTGGGAACCAAGTGTGTTGGATAAGAATCAGTCCAGGCAGGCAGCGGAGCAGCTCTGCTCCAGTGCCGGGAGGGCTCTGAATGTTGGTGCTTTAAAGAAAACCACTTTGCTAGAAAGCGGTTTCTTTCTAGAATCATTTAGGTTGGACCTTTAAGACAGAGTCCAGCCGTAAACCTAACACTGCCAAGTCCACCACTAAACCGGGTCCCTACGTGCCACATTTACATGCCTTTTAAATCCTTTTAAGTACCTTCAGTGATGGTGTCTGAGCCACTCCCCCAGACAGCCTGTTTCAATGCCTGACAACCCTTTCAGTGAAGAAATTTCTCCTTATCCCCAATTTAAACCTCCCCTGGCACAATTTTAGGCCATTTCCTCTTGTCCCATCACTTGTCACTGTGAGAAGAAACTAACACCCACCTGGCTACAACCTCCTTTCAGGGAGTTGTAGAGCAATATGATCTCTCCAGAGCCTCTTCTTTTCCAGGCTGAACACTCTCTCAGCCCCTCCTCACAGGGCTTGTGCTCCAGACCCTTCCCCAGCCTCTTATGCTCCTTTGTCAATGTTTTCCTGGAAGTGTACTACTAATATTGAGGAAACGAATACAGTTAAATGTATCCTAATTGCACTTTGTGTTTCACTGCATGGTAACTTAAAACACTGAGAATGGCTAGATGTCCCACACACAGATTGTATTCCTCCTGCTTGTTTCTCCGCAGGCTCCTTATAGCAGGACAAGCTACATGAGAGACCACATAAGAATGTCTCTGCCACGCCACTCTGCAGATGTGCAGGAGGAGTTCAGTTTTGCCTCCTCCTTTCCCCAGCCCAGCCACCCCCAAGAGCAGCAGTTTGTGGTCTGGAGCCACCACTCCAGGTAGCATACGTTTGCTGCCATTTCAGAGGTCAGGTGTGAGGTGCAAGCCCCTGCTGCAGAACTTGTGCTTGCAAACAGAACTCTTGCTACAGAGACAAAAAACATCCCCAGCTCCTCTTTTGTGCCACTCCCGCTTCAGATCCCACCCCAGCCACACAGCAAATGGTAACTGGGTCCATACAGGGGATATTGACTGTAGCTGAGCAACTAAGCAACGGCACAATGGAGGCAAACTGGATTTCGATCAGCTGCTTACTCTGAAATGACCCTTTGCACGTGACAAACTTGTCCTGGAAGCATTGGTACGGCAGGCTGATACTTTGGTGTTTGGACAAGCCCGACAGGCAGCACTGATGTGTGTATGTGGGGGTGTGAGAGTGAGATCTCTCTGCAGTTTTACAGTAAAATCGCAAAAAAACACCCCGCAGTGCAAAACAAATGGAAAGGACTAAATTTCTGCTGTAGAGTGACACTTTGTGTAACATAAAATAAGGCTAAAATAAGCCATAGTGTGGCTGCTGAGGCAGAGGTAACATTCAGTGGGCTTTCAAAAGTAGCTGCCCTGTAGCCTTGGCCGTTAGTTGTTTTATTAGATTTCTGTGGTTGGCCAAGAGATGGGGCTGCCGTTAGCTGGGTCACACAGGGGGTGGAGTCTTACCGCACTGGTGACAGGAACACAAGGAAAAGTAGGTTGTATGCAATGACGTAGTTTGCCATCAGGATGGGTGGAGATGTCCCAAGGTAAACACGTGCCAACTGAGGAACTGCAACTGCTGCCCCTCGGTCTGTGTGTGCAGTTCCCATTTGACAGGACAAAGGGCGCAGATGCAAGCTATCGCTGTTAAATTTTCAGCTTGGCTTTGAAAGCTCATTTGAAAGGTGTTCACGTGGGCGTGTGCATCTGTATGCCCTAGAAAGGTCCGTGCTGGTGCACTGGCCTTCCGCTTTGCCTTGTTTGCAGTAGGAATGTGAAGGCAGAGACAGGTGTCACAAGGACTTGGAGATTGCAAAAGTTGGCCTAGAGTATAAAAAAGACACCTCCTCAGTAGGCAGATTGATCACCAAAAAAATCCTTTTTTCCAAGCTTTTAGTTTTAACAAGTTATAAAAAGGGTTATTGAGGGTGATGTGTTTTAGGGGAAAGCAAACCAGAAATGACTTCCAGTTGTTCTCATCCACCTGCACCTTCTTCTACCCTCCCTTTTCATCCATCCCTTCTGCAGTGCTTCATTCTGTGACGCTTTGTACAGCAATTTCAGCTCGGCGTTCACTTGTGTCACCAATACACGCACACTTGAGAACCTGCATAAATACTGAAAGCTCTGACAGACCCATAGGTGTTGTAAGCCCTAGGTGACGCTGTGGCATTCCGTTTCTTCTTGGAGGTTCAGGTTGTGTATTGCATTAGACTGTCACAAGAAGAATGGTATGATAATGGAAAAGCAGTGAAATGAAAGAGCTTTGTTGTTCCTCAGTCTGAAATTCCCCTCAGCCTGTAAGCTGCATTTAGTGTATTTCTGCCTGGCTAGTAGAAGGGCTGATTGGGAGCCAAAAAGTTGATGCTGGGAATGCTCCAGTGGTGATTTACACCATCTGCAAATCCTGTTGGGATATGCTATGTGTTCTCTCCCAAACCAAAGTCCATTCCAGAAGTGGATCTGTGCCCTTTTTCGCATAGAAATCTCTTGCCTAAACCCAGTAGAAATCCAAAGTATTCTCTTCCCTTGTTAATTTATTATGCTAGGATGCGTTAAAATGACATTCATGTTTGAAAACAGTTTCATTTTCTTTTTCCAGTGGCTGGAAAGGCCCATTCCCCCATGTTAAACCTCTTGTAGCCCCCCTGAATGCTGAGGAACTACACAGTTATAGCTAAAACCACAACATAATCCCTGGCTCTTTTACCATTACCTGCATTTCCGCTGCAAAGGCACTGAACAGCACTGGGGGGTGCTGTAGTTTTTGTCACCTGGCAGTGGGGCCTCTACCATACCAATTTGTCTTATTTTGAACTTGGAAGACTGCTTCCATTCTTGGTTTATTACCTGTTTCTCTCCTAATTTTTTCTACACGTATAATACTAAATCTTACAGTCTCTCATTTGCTGAGGATGAGACTGAGAGGAGCTTCTTATGTGCATCCTCTCCAGGCCACAGTGATGCTGTAGCAGCCTTGGGCATTTCTCTGAGGAACTGCAGTACAGAGTCCCCTTGGCTAACGTTGGTCCAGGCTGGCCCATCGCAGTCCCCGGGTGTGTAGCGGTGAAGGAGCACAGCAGCGTTGTGCCCCCTGCCACATGCCAGCACTGGCAGAGGTCCAGGGCTTTCTGTACCATTCGCTTTTGGGCTTTGGGGATTCACTTCTCCCGAGACAGAGCTGATCTCTCTTTGCAGCAGTGTACCTGGGCATCTACCCTTGTGCCGAGGCCAGGTATGCCTGGGTGAGCTTGGACCCTCCGTGGAAATGCACCACCAGAAAAACAGAAACGGTTTTCCTGTTTCTGCCCTGACCTTCCCTTTTCCCATCTTAGACAGGTGAATCATCTCAAACAGAAACTGTCTCTGAGGAGAACAAGAGCCTGATGTGGATCCTGATGAAGCAGCTGCGGCCTGGCATGGACCTGTCGCGGGTGGTGCTGCCCACCTTCATCCTGGAGCCCCGCTCGTTCCTTAACAAGCTCTCTGATTACTACTACCATGCTGACCTGCTTTCCCAGTAAGCAACACGCAGAGCGTGCCTGACGTGGGCACTTTTCTTATATCTCTGAAAATGTGCGACAGGGTTAGCTTGGTGCTGGCTGGGTTGAGTTTGTGTGCTTGAAAGGCTCCCAAATAATACCCAGGTCGCTGGATTCAATGTAAGTCAAGCCAGGCGTCAGCTGCAGTGACCTTTTTGCTGCCAGTGAGGGGCAAGGAGGCAAGGAAAACAGTTACACTTCAGATAAAGCTGCCTGTGCACATGCTCGTGTTTGCCAGCTTTGGCTGGAACTGATGAGGATTCAGCTCTTGCCTTGGAGCATCTCACAACAGAGCTGTGCCACCTTCTGGTGTGCTCCTGTACGGAGGGCAGCAGGACAGAGCAAACGGAGTTGTCAGGCACTTCTGCCCCCAAAAGCAATATAATTCAGTTGGTTGATAAACAAATAAGAAACATCTTTTAACACCGTTGATGAGAGAGACCTGCTGGGAGCAGGTAGAAAATGGAAAACGTTACGCTTGCAGATAGTACCAGCCTTCTCAGTGAGGTATGCCTGGTGTATTTTAAAGCCAGAGTGTGCAACACTGAAATCGCAGCACTAGGTACTCATGTTTATTCCACTGCCTCTGGGTAATTTTAGAATCGTGGTATTTTCAAGCCTTGTTTGTGGTATTTGTAGCATCTGAAGTTAAGGAAATGGTTCTCCACAGTGCTGAGATATAAGAAAACTTCAAGAGGTTTGGAGGTTTTGTTAAATAAACCTCTTTGTGGTATGGATGATCCTTCTAAATGGGTTTTGCAAGAAATTATCCAGGTTGATTTTCAAATCTGACTAAATGGTTGGAAATGCCAGCAACTCTATTGTTTATGTTTACTTCCCACTTGATCTTTGAGCAGGGAAGGGTTGGAAGAGGTGACGTTGAGAAGTGCCTACCAACCTGAATTATTGTATGAAATCTCAAAGTAGTGCAAGAGGCCGTGTAGCACATCAGCTTCAAAGATCTTTTAAGGAAGAGGGAAATTAAAAAAAGAGAGAAAACAAGACTAGTCTTTGATTGTGGTGGCATAAGTATTACTGGGTTTATGTCTCTCACTGTCTTACATTGTAGCTGTAACTCAATGCTAGTGGGAGTGGCAGCCCCACTTTAACATACTCGAATGTCCAATCAGACCTGATAGACTCCAGAAATTTTATTAAGGTTTTTTTTTTTTTAGGAGTGCAGAGCAAGAGGAGCCACTTTTTTAAGAGTTTTTTGTGTGTTGTTAATAAAAGGAAATAATTTTTGCTGGCAGACACCTTTTTCACTGGCAGCAGCACAGAAGTTCCTTCCTTTAGTACTGGGGAAAGACTATTGAAATTAATGTAATTAGGCTGGTATGAAACGAGTGTGATGTGTGAATAGCATAAAGAGCATTTTATGTTCTGTCCCACAGGGCTGTCCTTGAAGATGATCCATACAGTCGAATGAAGCAAGTTTTGAGATGGTATCTGTCCGGCTTCTATAAGAAGCCAAAGGTAAAAAAAAGCGTGAAGTTGGGGTTGTCAGGGACATTGAAATCTTCTGCGATGGTCGTGTGTTTATTGCTTTTCCTTTGACACTTTGCCTCTTCTATTGTTCAGAAGACTCTGACCATTGCTTTTAAAACTGAAGTTGCATTTGGTTTTGGATATTGAGTGCAAAATAGTGCTGTTCAACCTCAGAGCCTTTGCACTGGACAGATACAAGGCAAAACCTGTCATCAACAAATAACATGTCTTCGGATGCAAGATTTTTCCCTGTGCTGAAAGCAGGTCTCCTTCCCCGTTTCAGGCCTGTTAGTACCGTAGTGCCATGTGGCCACATCAGTATGCTCCTGCTGCGTACAGTAGCAGAAATAATGAAGTTTGATCATCTTGTAAAGCTGTGATCAGGCAGTATCAAAGATTTAAATTGGTGAGAATAGCAGATGAATCCATGGCTTAGATTAAGAAATTAGATCAGGAGGATATATGTAACCATTTCTTCAGTTTCAATTCTTGTGATTGACTTAGTTTAAGACATCAGGGAGGAAATTATTTTGTTGTTTTGTGGCCATCTCGCTAGAGCTGGATTGCAGCTCTTCATTTGATTACTTTGTTTTTCAGGGAATAAAAAAGCCATACAACCCTATCCTAGGAGAGACGTTTCGCTGCTGTTGGTTTCACCCTCAGACAAACAGTCACACATTTTACATAGCAGAACAGGTCAGTTGCTTTTTTTGGATGCTCGGGTGTGGCAAACAGCAGCCTGCTTGTACTTCCATGCACAGGAACACAGTCCTCATCTCACCCTAGGACAGGAACTTGGAGTTTTGTGTAAACATCCAGGGTGGGACATGGGGTGAACAAGCTGCTGATCTGTTTTGCTTTCTAGATTTGCAGAGACGATGTGAGCGTTGGTGGGCACTCGAGGCCATAAGAGCAGGTCTCCCATATGTAACGTTAGTCTTCTGCCCTACTGTTTTCTTATTGTTAATAAAACGTGGTTTGTGTTGCCTGTCTCAAAAGGGGCATAAAACACATAACCCAATCCTACCTTCCTTTATTTTTCAACTTTCTATAATGATTTTAATAGGAGTGAATTGAGGGCTTATCTCGGTGTCTCTGGGGATAAACGAAGGGCAGAGCTCACAAGTAAACTGGCCTGACAGAATTTAGTTGGAGACTTACAGCGTTGATAAAGGGATCTGTGGACCATGTGGACTTCGGCACAGGGACTCCCTGTTTCACATACATTTTTTTCCGATTTAATAAGAGGCTTTATTTTGTTTTATTTTATTTCAGCCGCTGCATTCATTTTATGGAGATTATTCAGATACTGCCAAAAAATTCTGCGCTGTCCTTTCTTGTGCTGAAAATCTGACAGTGCACATGTTGGCCTAAAGTGGTCTCACATGCACAAAGTCAAGAAAATCTGGAATGGGGGAGAAAGTTTACATAGATAATGGTCCCATAGATAATGGTCTCACATATGATGTTCCTTCCTTTAGCAGTGAGGTTAATGGTATTGGTGGGGCCTAAAGGACACGGCTTGTCCTGAACTTTCCCTAGAGCATCTGTAACACCCTGTGAGGCTGTGTGTGCACCCACCACTCGCTTTAGCCTGTGAAGACTGCTGTAAGTGACCTGTACCTATTTTTCTTCTAGGTGTCCCATCATCCACCAGTGTCAGCTTTTCATGTAAGCAATAGGAAGGACGGATTCTGCATAACTGGCAGCATTCTAGCGAGGTCCAAGTTTTATGGTAAGGCAGTAAGCCTAGGCATCTTCCAGGTGACATCGTGCATTGGCTTTGGTTTGGTTTTCAATCACTCCTGAGCATGTTGAGGGTTAAGAACAAAGAAATGCTTGAGAGATCTACCCCCAGGACACCCTAATTCCTTGTCTTGGCTTGGTTTTCCCCATTTCCACTGTTTCAGTGGGAGATTGCACCCCAAAAAGATCAGGTAGAAAAATTGAGGGTTTTAAAAACCTGGTTTCCAGAAAGCAAAGATTCATGAGAATGTAACTTGGCATATGCTCACAGATTACTCATTTTATAGCTATCTGATCATCCAACTGACTTCTGCAAAAGTCTCTGGATAAATGTAACCGTTTATCTGCTCGAGATTTCTGAGACATGAACACCAGACCTCCAAAACCACCTCAGATCTTTTAATCTCAATGGAGGCAGCACCACTGCAGGCTCTACGCAGGGCTGCCGTTTGAAATAGTTTTTTTGTTTGGACAAACACCTCTCAAGTACTATCCTCTGGTAAATGTATTTGCTGAAACACTTGTAAATAGTTACTGCTGTCCTTCCGGCAATTTTATTTGTTATTTGGGATCATACACAGTCAGAAAAGTTGTGAGAACAGAAGGACCTGGAAAACTTAAAAGCCTTTGAACTGCTTTCTGCGCCCCACTGACGACTTACTTAACCTACTGCCCTTTCTGCAATGAGGGCTAAATGCCAGAGCAAATATGAGCCGTACAGCAGTTTATTAGAACTGCCGGCCTCCACGTAAATGATTTGCAGGGTCCTGAGTTATTAGCATTTCATAGCTCTTCTTTCATTAGTGACCTACATTTAAATGGAAATGTTTTTCTAAAGTAGGATGAGTGACCAAGTATAACATGCATTTTTTAATATATATGTATTTGTTCTTTTAAATTCTAGGTAACTCACTTTCTGCACTGTTGGATGGGAAGGCAAAGCTTATGTTTCTAAACAGGGGGGAAGATTATATAATTACTATGCCATATGCCCACTGTAAAGGTAAGTTATGCCTGTTCAAACAGGACGCAAGCAGAAAGAATAATGTAATGGTATCTTACTGACTAACTTTGCACTGGCTCTCCTCTTCCCTCTCGAATGCCTGGCACTGCAGGACTGGTAGTTCCAGGGAGCAGTTGCTCCACATGAGTCAGTGCTCAGCGGAAGACTGGTAATCGTCACTGAAGTGGTTTTGATTTTTCTGTGCAGTGCTGAGGACAGAATTAGGCCCATTTAAATTAGCTTTAACCCTGTGTAGAAACAAAAATACACTGTGTATATGCACTGCAGGTGAAGTGAAGCTGGAAAGAGTAAGAGTATGTTTCTGAGCTTCTGAGGATAAAAAAGTTTTTCTAATGCTAACAGTGAAATTGTTTAATATATTTCCTGGCTTTTTGAGAATAAAGGAAATTCCTGATTCCTCTTCTGATTTCTTTGTTACTCAAATCATGATATTCCCCCGTGCATGAGCTGCCTCTCTTACCGTGTGGCTTTGCATGTGCACTGAGGCCAGGGGATGGCTGCCGCTTCACTGCTGTAACGTTGCGTTTCTCCCTAGGATGCTAAGCGTTGGTGGCATTTCCTCCACAAAACCACTCCTACAGCAGTTTGAGCCACTTTTGGTTTCTGAATATTTTTTATTTTGGCATGTTAACCTCTAAGTTAATATTGATGGAGGGCCTAGCTACCTGAAAACAGTAACTTCTGTAAGTCACACCCTCTGTGAACTGTTCCTGTGCATAAATCTGTCTCGTGTCAGTTTTTCTTTTTCTGCAAATGACCTTTTCAGACAATGGTAAGCAAGTGTAAAAAGGAGTCCCCTACATGACTACTACCAGTCTGTCAGATTCTGCTGAATCCTGCTGCAACTCCTCTCTGCCCCATCCACCCTGTGACAAGGGTCTGGTTAAGCACTAGTATAAATGACGTTGCTGGGCACAACTTGCCTTATTTTTCCTTTCCCACTTTCAGCTTCCCACAAACGCACTATCAGCACCTGTGAGTCAAGCTGTTTCCCGGTGTAATAAATGGGCAATATAGACTCAGGGAACGATTTTTCATGCTTAGAGTAAAGAGCCATTTCCTAGAAACTTTGGATTCTGTCTTTTCAAAACTTCAAGCCAAGTAGCGAATTTCGCAGCTTGCCAGTCTGAGTTGAGAAAGCAGATCACTTCCACGGCGGCCCCTCTTAAGTCTCTTTTTCCCCTTTCAGGACTTTTATATGGTACCATGACAATGGAACTTGGAGGGAAAGTTACCATCGACTGTGAGAAAACTAACCACAGGGCAGAACTGGAATTCAAGCTAAAGGTAAGAGACACTGTAGCCCCCATTCTGAACGGGTCTGAGGCTCACCCCTGTGCTCCAGGCACAGTAATGTATGTGTGCATTACCGGATGGCCTAACCAGAGAGGAGGCTCCATCCTGCAGTCAGTTTTGCCTGGTACAGCTTGATTTGAACCCAGGAAGCCTGAGTTTTACACATGACTTGCTCGCTGCCAGCCAGCTGGCTACTGGCCGAGCTCTCTTCTGAATCACATTGTGCCTTCTCTTGGGGCAGGTACAATTCCTTCGCTTGCAAAATACAGCGAGGTGTACAAAGTACTTTGAGGCAAGTGAGGATGTGGATCTTCAGTGTAGCTCTCCGGTAGCCATCACACACGTACTCTTACCTTTCAGGTATTACAGTGAACTGTATCTTGCATTTCTGAAGGCTAGGACCTTGTCCCGATAGCAGGGCAAGAGTCCATTTTCAGGCAGAGAGTTTTGAGTGGCTATCACACTGACGAGCCACAAGTCATTGCCTTGTACCTGTTCATGTCACTATTCCCTCCCCTAGAATGTTTGGCTATGCGGATGTGTGGTATACAGGTAAAATGGAGACACCTTTGAGCATTTCTGTAGTTACATGTGTTAAAATTTGAGAGGGAAAGTGATAACGGGTAACTTTTCTTGGACAGTTAACTTGCTTTTTAATGAGCATCATTACTCTTCTGCTCCAACAAACAATTTCTTGCCTGGGCATAAAATGAAAGGTGGAGAGCTGAGAGGCTGCAGGACTTGAGAGTTGCAGCCTTAGCCAGCATAAATGTGAGCGGTTACTGGAGTTAGGGGAGTCTTTTGCAGCCGACATTTTTCTGGGGGCAGTAATCATTTTCTGTCTTTTTTTGCCCTTATAAAGTGAACTGTTGCCCCATGTCCTTTCTTGACATTTGCCTATATCTGACTTGAAAGCCTGTTCATCCTGTAGGCCTGACGTACTGTGTTGAGGCCGTTGGGGTATTTCCCTGACTGCCTGCAGTGCTACCTCAGACCTCCAAACACTTCAGAGCTGAAATTGCCAGCCCTTCTCTTGATTGAGAACAATACGCTTAGACCAAACGTGACTCAGACTGGTCCCTGTGGCCTAATTATGTGCTCTGCTTTGAATATTTCTCAGCCACCTTTTGCAGTGGAATTGTGAGAAGTTAAAGGTAAACCCCATAACTTTGTTATTAATTTGGAAATGTACTGTTTCTCTGCTGGATTGCACACAGTGATTCTTGAGATACTTGTGATTTCTTCTTCCATCGGTATTGCCAGAAATTTGGGGTTATATCTTTATTTTAAAAAAAAAGAGTTCCTCTGCATGAACGTTATTGGAAAGGAGCTGCTAAAATCTCTGAAGAAATGTCACACGGTAAGTATGAGTGGAAGAGCTGGTCACTCGATCACTGCCATTTCCTGTGTTGGGCAGGCAGGAGGTGAGGGGAATTTTCCATTGTTCTGAGGATCTTTTCCTTGAGTCTGGAAATACCCTTTTTCTTTTTTTTTTTTGTTTGCTGCTGACATGTGATTCTTCACAAAGACTTCATGCTGATGCAGCTGTCAGCAGTGCCACACTGCTGCTGCTGTCCCATAAGCAGGAAAAGCCACCAAGTGCATAGTGCTGCTCCAGTTCTTTGGGCGAGGCTGCAGGTATGAGGGTGCAAACTGTAATGTGGTTCTGGACAACGGGAAGGACTTGCCCTCACACACTTACCCCGATGGTTGGCTGACAGTGAATGCATTTGCAGCGAAGGCGAGGCCTTGCGCTGCTGAACGTTAATGCATCTGAAGGCTTATCTCCCTGCAGCTCCTACGGCGATTTTGGTATTGCAAACAAAAGGAGGAGGGCACAGTGCTAGACAGTCAACATCTGTGTTCGAATTCATTCTGCTTTTCCCCACAGATACTGGAAATCAAGCAGGTTGCACTTTCTTTCCTTCCTGCTGCATCACTGTGTTTGGCTCCCTTCCAGTTCTCACTAGACTGATTGTATTTTCTATTTCTATTCTCCCCTGACAGCCCTTCTTCGGTGGCAGCACAAGCATTAATCAAATCTCTGGGAAGATTAAATCAGGAGAAGAGGTGTTAGCAAGTCTCAGCGGACACTGGGTAACATACGATAATCGAAGTTGCTGACAGTTGAAGTGCGCGTGGCGCAGGGTGCGTGGGAGGACTGGCAGCCCTTGGCAGGCTCCCTGCGTTGGAGTGGGGCTGTGTCCTGCCTACTCTGCGTGCAGGCGAGCAGAGCTTTCCGGGCCACACCTCTCAAGGTCATTTACGCTTCCGCAGTCCCATCCACTTGCAGCGCGAGTAACGCTGGCACTCCCAGAGCCTGGGCCAAAGCTGGGGGCGGTGAGGTGCATTTCAGTTGAAGCCAGTGGCTCTGTATTTAGGGTTCCAGGCATAGGACGAGCATGGATGGCAGGAGACAGTGTGTCTTCTGTGTGATTGTGAAAACCACGAGGCTTCCCTTTGTCTTGTGTTTAATACTTCCCCAGCTACTGCAGTATCAGGGAAGAACTTCACAGGGTTTAAAATTAATTACTTTCACAGCAAACCTTTATGATAGAAGATGGTTATTCCTCTGCTCATGAGACAAAGGACCAAGAGGCAGGTTCTGTGAGGGTCTCCCTGGGCATCTCAGAACAGTCAGCAGAGCCAGCTAGCATCGTTGCACATCTAGTGTTCACAAGTGAATCCCTCAAAAGTGTCGTTAAGCCAAAATCCAGGCATGATGAAGGATGTAGGCTAGAGTTTTGGTTGGGAACTCCTGGTAACCAAGGCAAAAGCAGTGAGCTCCGGCTTTGGGCTGAACACTTGAGTATTTATCTCAGCTACATTCAGACATCTACATCTTCATTACAGCTGGACTGTGCTCCCTTTCCAGTCCACAGAAATTGGCACTCCTGAGACAAGATTGGTCTCACCCTAAAGGAGGCATTTAAAGTGGAGCAGGTGAAGTGTGCCTGGATAAAGCCTTTTCTATAGCGAGGTCCTAACCACAGTGTAGCCTTTGGTATTGCACTCCTCCCTTCAGGCAATCTGTCTTTTTACATAAAAAGCTAGTGACCATTTTGAAATGGGGAGATTTGCCCTTTTCAGGTGTATACAAGGGGATTTTGTCCCTCAGCCTTGGTAGCTTTTCCATGCTGAGCTCCCTCTCCTGCAGGACAAGGCTTGGCAGTCGTGAGTTGCGTGGACTGTGGAGTACCTTGCCTGCGGTGGGTCCTGCCAGCACCATCCAGGAGAGCGTGTAATCGAGTGGCTCCCCTGGGATGCCCAGCCACATGGTTGTGTGCTGCTCAGCTTCCAGCTTTCTGTGTTTGGGTTTTATCAGCCCGAGAATAATTTATTCCTCCCTTGTTCTTTGTGCTGGTTGTTTGTGGTGCACAAAATTAGACTGATGTATAAGGGAAGTTAAATGGCTTTGAAAGGGTGGCTCCAGAAGCCGCTGTTTGCAGTTGCATGCTGTGAATAGAGTAGCTGCTGTGCAGCAGCAGGGACGTTGTTTGTTCTCCTCCCTCCCCGCTGAGAGTATTGGCCTGCTCTGCTGAGCTCTGCAGGCTTTTCTCTGGCACTGTCTGGTTTCCTGACAGAAACCCTCGCAGCTGAAAGGTTAATTCTCTGCCTCAGGTCCTGAAAACCCACCTGATAAAGAAGAGAAGCAAATCTCAATGCTTCTCAGCCACAGGATCAGAGCAGCAGCTGAGGGCTTGGATGCATGCCCCGTAGTGATGCTTGATAATGCCTGCATGTCTCTGCCCATCCACATCTGGGGGGCTCTCGGGGACCTGAGATCTGTCCTGGAACTTGCACCTCAGGGCATGGGAGAGGAAGTCCTGAGGGAGACTTTGAGGAGGGATGAGAGTCCCTCAGGATTGAAGGAGTTTCACAACTGAAGGTGTGGGAAGTGGACTTTGAGACATCCATCCAGGGACCGTGGCAGGGGAAGAAATGCAGCAGCTTGGACGCAAAGAAATGAGGCAGCAACAGGGAAAGCCGATAGCCGTGACCTGAACGAGGTCTGCATGATACCCACCCCATGTCTGGGCAGCTGAATGGCACCAGTGCACATGCTGTTCAGCTGCTGCAAGCGTCTGATTCATTCCACCTGCAGTCAGCGGCCTGCTGCTCACTGAGTGCTCTGCAGACTGCCCGTCTGGCTCCCTGGCATTGCTGCGCCTGTGGGCAAGGCTGGGAAGCAGCTTCCTTCGCAGGGACACAGCAGTATTGTCTAGCCAGCCTCGGATCAGAGAAGTGCTGCTGAATAGTTGGTTGCCAAGTAGATTGGCAAGGCATAAGGATGAAAGACCCCTGGCATTTTGAAGTGCTAAATGAAATTCAGGAACAGTAATAGAAAAAACAGGAACAATAATAGAAAAAAAAAATGTAAGGGAAGATGTCTCTCAGCTTTGGCTCTCCTATCTGGAGAGGATGGTATTTCAGTAGGCTCTGCGTGAGATTTCAGCCTAGAGAAATAGAAGACAGACTGGAAAAGGAGCTAGGGATCTTGTTTATGTGAGCTGGGTGGTACCTGGGAGGAACAGTGGGGAAAGCAGAGCATCTCAGGGCTTCTCTGGGTCCTGTTGTCTGGGGACAAGACTAACAAAAGGTACCAGGTCCCTTTCTAATTCTTCTCTGATTAATTCAGCCAGTGTTTCTGGGAATGCCTTGCCTCGTTTGCTTTAGAAACTTTCAGGAAGTGTTCAGTGTGATTTAATGGGATAGAGGAGGAAAGAAGCCTTCCAACCAAGCCCTACACCTGATCATCATCCGGAAGCAGCTTCCATGTGTTGGGATTATTTTCTGCTTTGTGTTTCTGATTGCCATTGACCTTTTCACTTCATTTTCCTTCTCAGGACGGCGAAGTGCATATAAATGAGTTGAAAAATGGGAACACGGAAACGTTATGGAACCCCACCAGTGAAGTGCGACGGCAGAGACTGAAGCGCCATATTGTACTCTTTGAGGAGCAGACGGACTTCGAGTCAGAGAGGTCAGGATTTCTGAGAACACCTTGCTGCTGCTTCCCTGCTGGAGTTGGGGTGCTGATCAGAAGGCTCCAATTCCTCAGCACAGTCCTGGAAGGGCAGTGACCCGCTTCACCTGCACATACTACCCAACCGTTTGCCTGGTTTTTTCCAGTCTATTAACTCTGGAGTATTTCATGAGGTGTAGCTCTGAAATAACCAGGGAGCTGGCTGAGAAATAGTGGAGGCTACTTTCTATCTGCTAAAATAACAACTCTCCCTGAACTCCAGAGATCACGAGCAGAGTCTCTGTAACTGCTGGAACATTTTATGGAAGGACAAGATGTCAGTCTGAGGTCAGATGCCTTGTTAAGAAGGGTTGTTTCAACCACAAGCTCTTAAAGTAGATGCAGGAATCATGTGGAAAGTCCTGGCATGAGCAGAGCAGTAGTTTGAACCACATAACAGGAGTTTATGAGAGAATGTAATTAAACAGGTGTTTAACCCTGCCTCGTAATCTCAACTGAGATCTCCAGTGAAGTCTGCACCGTTTTTTTTAGGGTAATCTAGATCACCTAAAAATACAGTCCAGGCACATGACTTAGGAAGGGAAAGGCATGACTACTGGAGACAATGAGCATCCCTGAGCCAATTCTTGAGCGAGAACAGCTGCAGCAACATCATGTGGTGCTGCCTTCAAACCAGGAAGTCCTGCCATCTCACCAACGCCCGTAGCCAGTACCAGCTAACAAGCCAAGCTGGTATGTGCACTTCGCTGCCTGTTCTGCATGACACCGGCCGCTTCCCTGTGGGCATCTGATTTTGGTGCCGCATCACTTCACACTAAGAAGATTCCCCTTCTTATGGGTGAAGAAAGGGATTGCGTAAAAATAAACCCCCATGAACATTTAGTTTGTTCTGGTCCGCGGTGGACGCTGTGGGCAATAAAGTCTGTATTTGTAACTTACAGTCGTGGAGTTGCCGTTGGCAGAGAGCAGAGCAGACCACAGCACATTTCTCAGTTAGTCTTCAGAGGAAGATTCTTTTAAAGGGGAAGAGAAATCTCTGTCTTGCAGACAAAGAATCTCCATTTCTCTGCTCACCAGGGTACTGACTCGCTTTGCCACATCAGAGATTAATAACGGTACATACATCCGTTAACGGTACAGGGGAAGGAGGCAAAAGGCAAAATTCTAGAGGTCCCGAACAGATGTTCCACCGAGCTTGTTATGCTGACAGTCGCATGAATAAATTACCATCTAATCCAGGTTATGTTCTGCCTGAATTGCTTAGTCTTTCCTGCAGTGTTGAAAATCACCTCTTTTCACAAATGCTGGAGTCTCTGAAGCTCATAGCATTATGCAGCTCACCATGGAGGGTCTCACTGTCTGCCACAGCTCTTGATGGAGTAATTTGCCCTTGTCAGACAATTTTGTGCCTGTTCCTCTGAGGTTCTTAGAATTAGAGGAGTCGCTCTTTACACCACTGCATTCCTAAGACTGACTCAGCGCCACCACAGTGTTTTCTCAGGCCGTTATTTTTACTCCTCCCTCCCCTGCCCCCATCGCTTTGAGCTTGAATTGAGTTTCCTTCCTTTGTTTCTGGGAGAAAAGATTCATACACAGGAAAATGGGAGTGACGTGTCCAAAAGGACAAGAAAGTGTTCCTCTGCCTTTGGTTAATTATCTTAGAGGCTGCTTTTTTGGAAGTGTTGTATTAACGTATGGTGATAAGAATATAATGAAAGCATCGGTATCCCTTTTGAATTAAGAGCTTGACAGCCAGGTCCAAAGTAAATGCAGTAATGTAGTCATCTTCCACATGGAGGACTGGTGTTTTGTGGAGCTGGGAATACTGGAACAGCCTGGATCTCCAGTGCCTATTCTGACAGTTAAACCACTCCATAATGGTTTGGGAGGGCTCGCCGCTAGTCTCAGAAGTATTTCCAATCTGAAATTAAAATTAGAGTGCTCTGATTAGAGGAACTGTGGAGAGTCCTATCGCAGCTTGGCTAAAGTAGTGATTTTTCTCTTGTAAAAGGCCGATCCTCTCCTGCGGGCAGAGGCTCAGTGGGACATCATGTGACGGATCACGTAGGTTTTGACAGCTGAAAACAAGTGCGAGTGAAAGCCTGGGTTCACGCTTGCAGTCTGTGAGCACAAGTACGCCTCCATTTCTCGCAGACCAGCTCAACTTCCTACAGATCTGCTTGCTGAGTCTATGTGGAAGTACAGCATCGCGTGTGCAGCTGCAAGCCATGCACATGCATTCATTTACCAGTGCTTCTAAACTATAAATACAAAGCCTTTGTTTCAGGAATAGACATTAACACAAAGGCTCCTAAACATACATGATTGAAAGGGTGAGGAAGACAACATATTCTCCATTATACATCAATCCCTGACCTCAACGAGCTGAGCGTAACTAGCTCAGAGCTCACACAGAGCGCACTAACGATTTTAGTGACTATTGCAGGTGATGCTGTCTAAGGTAAAGCTCCCCTGTTCTCTGGTAGATCACTGGATTCAGCATTCAGTGTTACCATTCTCATAACGTTCCTTTAATTTACAAGCCAAAACTGGGGCTGAGCCATCCTGTTACAGTTCCTCTGGAGTGTCAATAGACCAGAGAAGTGTCGGCTCTAAGGTTCCAGCTGGCAAAATGCATTGTTGGTTTTATGGTGGTTTAACTTGCTTCCCTGTTTATTTCTAGGCTTTGGCAGCACGTTACCAGTGCAATAAACAAAGGCGATCAACACAAGGCGACGCAGGAGAAGTTTGTGCTGGAAGAGGAGCAGAGGAATGCTGCCCGGGAGCGGAGAGAGAACGGCACAGAATGGAAACCGCTGCTCTTCCGGCACGACGCCACGACTAACGAATGGCACTACAAATACGAGGAGTGAGTGCTGGGGTTGGGGGTTATGAACAGACCTCGCTGCCTGAGTCCGCGGGCGTGCAAGCAGGGTTACAGGCCTGTAATTCAGGTGCTGCCATTCCCCAAACTATGCCCCAGCCTTGCTCTTCCTGAGCTCCATGACATTGTTAGAACGCATATTCCTGGTACTAATTGGGAGTAGGAGGAAATGAGGACTTGGCAATGGGACATCTGCCATGCCTTTGGTATAAATCCCTGTTGCTGCAATTGTGTGGACTCATTTAGCAGAGATTTTCAGACTGTGCGAGCAGTGGTGACAACTGTGTTGTCCTTCCCTGGCAAGAAGGGTGAAGCCTCTGAAGGCTGAGCCCCCTCATTTATCCTGGGAACTGGGAACGTAGAGGGAAGTGTGTTACTCCTCACACTGCATTTGCAGAAACTCCTGTTGGTGTCAGGAGCGAATGCCTGTCCTGCTGCCTGTGGAATTGGTGTGTTGCTCTTAATACACCTGGTGGGGTTCTGCTTTTTGTGATGGTTTTTTCCTTTGGTCTCAAAAGTTTAAGACCTTGGGATCCTTTGAACGACATTGCCCAGTTTGAGAAGAATGGGATACTTCAGACCATGGAACGACACTTATCCAAAAGGATGTCAAACCACAAAACAACGTGCATAAACAAGCAAATGACACGGCACAAGGTAAAAAGCCTGTTTTGGGGAATTCTTTAAGACTGTTCAGATACATAGCCCTTTTCTGCAGCGCTTTTTATGTAGGCACAGCATAGGCTGAAAGGTTTCTTTTGAGTAAATATAGCTTATGAGTCTAGACCTGCCATATTATACCAACGTTAACTCCGAATAATTATAATTCTTGGTTAACGTACCCTATCCATTTTGGTATTTTTCTCCACCCAGTGTTGGTGACAGTGACTCTGACACTGGGGTTTGCACGTGACTGGGCTGAACTTCACTGTTCAGTGTTTCCAAAGCAGAAAACTTCCCATAGTGAGGGTGTGAGCAAGGTTTTGGAGTACACAACTGAGATCCTGCACCTTCTATTTCGGTCTTTGCCATCTGCCTTTCCTACTTACTTCCTCTTAGACACGACAAGACACCTCTCTCCATCCTCTCCCTTAAACACGGATGATACTTTCTTATTTAAAAAGGGGAAAAAAGAGGA